TGTGCAGACACACCATACTCCACTTTTAGAAATTGACAGTCATTGTTAGTATTCAAATGTTTTTATGCTACTTATTCGTTTTAAAAAAGAATTGATGTCCGATTTGACGTAATATAGTTTGTTTTCGATAAACGTTAATACATTTAAATGTGAAGCACACTTGAGGAAAAATTTCCTCAAAAATAATTATAAAACTTTTTTATGTTTGTTTGTAAGGTGGTTGTTAAGATTAACATATAAGTATTTGCTCAAGAATTTTATGTAGTGTTTTTTTCCTATATTATATTATTATGCCATTTTTGTACTTTGTTGATATCGAAAACCACTCTAAAACTTTAAAGTGAGCAATGTTTTTAATTTACAAATCGAAATTTCGACTTGGCCAAAAATTTGCTTCTAAGCTTGGCTGTAATAATTTCCAGCAGAAAAATAATATAACAGTTAAGAATAATACTTAACTTTTAATAAAATGAATTCAAATTATTGATAGACTTAAAACTATCCACAGTATAGTAATTATACTGATTAAGATATTAAGAATTAAATTAGACCCCACTCGAATGATTGAATGCTGGAAACACGCAAGATCAGGTAAAGAGGGTTGAGGGCGATAGAAATTTTCTCAAGTGAACCCCATTTCGTATAAAATTAAAGATGTAATAAATATCAATTTTTTATTATTATTATGTAGGTAATTTAATCAATTTTTTAAAGAAACTCTTTAATTTTTTTCTATATAATCATTTAAACGTCTGTATAGTCCGTCAGTGTTAAAAATAATAATTATTTGTCTTGTAACGGATATTTAAATTTCGAAGACATTCAAAATGTATTAAATACAACGCACGTCCATGTGCTCACTGGGCTGTTAAAAGAGAATATGAAATTAGTAATTACAGAATTAGTATATTCAGTATCATAGAAAAAATTCAATTAAATTTTCTTATAGCTTACAGTCGAGAGGGCTGTTCTTGTTATTCTGGGTATGTAATACGCTTAAGATTGTATCACTGCATCGTAAAGATGACTGGTTAAATACCACAGTACTCCGTAATGCAGGCATCTTAGCAAACGTGTTACGTTCACCGTTTTCTTATCTTAACAGAGCAGATGTATCATCTACTCTAAAGAAGTTCTTAGAAACACCATACTTATATCTATTTTCATTTTGAAATTATATTTCTGTTACTAAAAATAAATCAATTACTATCTTAAGTTACATTAAAGTTAACAGAATATTTTAAGTGGTACAAAATTTATCAGTATAAAATACGTCATAATTTTTTGTAATAATTGGCATTCCGTTAATTATAAGTGAATTGTTTTTCTAAAGCAGACTGAATTGAGTGCATTACACTAAATAGGTCTAAAATAAGGTCTATATCTATAATAATAATAATAATAATAATAATAATAATAATAATAATAATAATAATAATAATAATAATAATAATAATAATAATAATAATAATAATAATAATAATAATAATAATAATAATAATAATAATAATAATAATAATAATAATAATAATAATAATAATAATAATAAAGATTATATACTTTTAGTAAAAAGGGGCATAAAGTTAAAGTCCGAAATGTATTTGCTTAAAATTCATTACTCGGTGGTTTTTGGGGTCGCTGATTACGAATATGGTATTAGATTTTAAAAATTCAAAATGGCGGATCTGATATGGCGTAAAAAATTAAAAATTATTTAGATATGTCTTAAATGCATTACTCGGGGGTTCTTGCGGTCGCTAAATACGAATCTGTCATCAGATATTTATAATTCAAAATGACGGACAAAATTAAATTTTTTTAAATTTTTTCTGAAATTCATTATTCGGGGTTACTAAGTTTTATAAAAAATCGTCAACGTTTTAGTTTTAATGTCTGCCATATTGGATCCGTCATTTTGAAGTTTGGAAATCTGGTACCAGATTAATAATTAGCGACCCCGAGAAAATCCCCGAGAAACAAGTGTCAATCCGAACAATTTTTACACTGCAAAAAGAGACGTCTTATTTTGAGACGTTTTTAGTATCTTAGACACATCTTTACCCATCTCTACCCATTAATTTGTTGTAATTAAAAAAACATCGACGAAAGTCAATTTCTTCTTTTTTCTGTTTTGAAATATCGTTCAACTTTGACAATAACTGTTACTCCAGACATGGTAGACAATAAGAACACTACTTTCGTATCCATAACTGTAATCATAACTGATATTGGACCAATCCACTATGCTTGTTCAGGGTGTCTACTGAAAATATGACTTAAAATTCCAGGACATTTTCAGGACATTCCAGGATAGATTTCTTATTTTTCCAGGACATTTATATGTGTAACAGGGTTGCCAACAAGTCCGGGAATTCAAGAAATTCAGGGAAAAGTTAGAGATTTTTACTAAAAGTACTGGAAAAAATTTAATTTTTAGAATTTATAGGAAAATTCTGAATTTTTGTGTCTTTTTTGTTTGCCTTATAAACTATGAAATTGCCAAAAATTCTAATACAAACCCTTCAATTTTTTCTATTTTTGACAATAATTTCTTTTTAAATAACTTCGCATAAATTCAATTATGTTTAAAAATTTTTAAAAATTCTCGTCAAAATTTCAATTATATTTATAAATAATAAAATTCTTCTCAAAAATTCAATTATTTTAAAAAAATTAAATAAAATTCTTGGCATAATTTCAATTATTTTTAAAAATTTTCCTCATTTCAATTATTTTTGATATCTACTATTTTAATAAAATTTTCCAAAAGAATTCTATTATTTAAACAAAATTTTAATAAAAATGTAACAGGAATTCAATTACTTACCAATTTCTTTTATAAAATCCTTCACATCAATTCAATTATTTTAAATTTTTTAATGAAGTTTCTCGAAAGAATTCAAATATATAAAGAAAATTGAAAAAAATAGTCTGAGAAATTTAATTATTTTGAAAAATTTAAATAAAATTCTTTTAATAATTCTATTATTTCAAAAAATGTTGACAAAATTCTTTGCAAGATTTAGTTAATTAAATTCCAATTTTAATAAAATTTTTCTATACAATTCAATTGTTTTCAATACATTTCTTCTTAAGAATTCAATTATTTTTACAAATAATACATTTTTTTTATGGAAATTTATTTATTTAAAAGAATTTGAATAAAATTCTTCGCTAGAAATCAATTATTTTCTTTCTTGAGAATTTGATTATTTTAAAAATTTTTGATAAAATGCTTTAAAATGCTTTTTTTTCGACCGGATATTTTAATTAAAAATAATATTTCTAATACGAGCATCTTTGTACGAAAACGTTATAAACATTCGCGTAGAACCTTAAATCTCTGGTATTCTGGGCATTGTCGAACAAATTGTTGGACATCATGCCACATGCCAGGCCAATAATATTCCATTGCTATAATAAAATCGGTCATAAAATACAATTATTTTCGTAAAATACAACATTTTTTTCTAAAATACACTTATTGTCACAAAATATTTGTAAAACTCTTCGAAACAATTCAATTATTTTCGTAAAAAATAAAATTCTTCTATGCAATTCAATTATTTAAGAAATTTTAATAAAATTCTTCTAAAGAAATCAATTTTTTTCAAAAATAAACATTTTCACAGGAATTTAATTATTTAAAAAAAATTTTGTTTTAATTCTTTGTCAGATTTCAATTATTTTCAATTTTTTATTGAAATTTCTAGATGAAATTTAATTATTTTTTAAAAGTTTTTAAAAATTCTACAAAATTCAATTATTTATAAAAATTTGAATAAAATTCTTCACCAGAAATTAATTATTTTCATAAATAATAATATTTTTCTCTGGAATTCAATTATTTTTACAAATAAAATTATTCACAAGAATTCAATTCATTAACAAATTTTTTAATAAAATTCGTTGCAAGAATTCAATTATTTTCATAAATAACAAAACTTATCGCAGAATTTCAATTATTTTTATTAAATTTAAAATAAAATGTTGGAAAATTGCATTTATTCTTACAATTTTTTTTTAAATTCGCCGAAAGAATTCAATTGTTACTAAAATTTTTTTTTTTTTTTTTTTTTTTTTTTTATTTATTTTTGTATTTAAATAATTGAATTCTCTGGAAATTTACTAATAAAAATTGATTAAAAAATGAATTTCACTTGAAAATTTTAAATTATAATTGAATATTAAAAACATTATAGCGTGAATTTTTAGAAATATGTAATTGAATTTTGAAAATGGGTAAAAATTAAAATCTTTGAAAATTTAAATTTTTAGTTAAAATATTCTTATGAAATAAAATAATGATTTTATTACTTTGTCATCTTAAATTTATTATAATATTCTCATAAGTTATTGAATCTTAATTTTTTGAGAATCTTAATTTCTATAGAAAAATAATAATGATTTAATATTTATTTAAAGAAGAAGTTATTAATGTTTTTCAGGGTCAGGGAAGAAGTGAAAATTTTGTCTGGAAATCAGGGAAAAACAAAAATAAAATTTTATGGCAATCCTGTGTAATATTATTTCATATTACGATTAACATAATTTAAATTAACCTATACTTGAACAAAAATATTTATTTTATTATAAAAAGAGTTAAAAATCAATATTGTAGATACCAGTTTTTTTAATCAAATGACAAATTGAAATTATTTTTTGATGGATCAAAAAATTATTTTTTTAAATTTGAGTAAATAAATTTAAATTTTTAAATTATTGAATGTTGAAAAGCAGGACATTTAAGGACATTTCAGGAAATTTTTTTAAATTCTAGGACATTTCCAGGAATTCCAGGACTTCAAGGACCAGTAGACACCCTGTTGTTTTTGAGGAAGATTGAACTCCTAATTTTAATTTGTTCTATAGATACATTTAGTATTAAATTTACAGCATAGAATATTGTAGAGATTTCAAACTATCATTATAAAACATTTATCTGTTGCTTTGGAAGGTTAAATTTTACAAATCGATTTTTATGTGAAGGAAAGGAATAAATAAATAAAAAATTCTTTCTTTCATGTAATATGCTAGTTATTGTATAAACAATATTTTATTGCAGTTATTACTGAAATTTAAAAATTTCATTTAAAAGCCCCTGTATCCCTTTGTTATATTTTGTACAAATCGCTATTTCCATTTTTCATCAGTCTTCATAACACGAGAACCGTAGCCTGCGGCTAAACGTTGGGTTTCGTAGTTGAACAAAATCACTAGCGACATTACCTTCAATATTCGTAAAACGGATTCTGTAACGGCAGACGCCCTCAGTGGTAATGAGGTGGTTTCAATTCTTGCCTGAAGGCATCTCGTCTTTATGTATATAGAACAGTAACTAATACCATGCAAATGTTCGCACAAGAGGTAGCAAATTCAGATTGATAGGAAAGTGTTGCCAATCCGAAGAGATGTTTTTATAAAATACTATTAATTATTAGTTGCAAAAATTAAACTTTTTTATTGATTATTTACAATCTTTTTATTTTGTAAGTATAAATATTCAAACTTTCTATATTTTGATGCAAATTAACATTTTTCAAAAAATGATAGATTGTGGTTTTGGTTAAGAATCAATTTATTGAAAAATTATTTCAGCTAGTATGCAGTGCGTTAAAAGAACTTTACTAGTAAATTGTTCATCTCTATACAACTAGAAATATTTGACACATAAAGTTTACAGTTTTCAAACTTGTTTGTTTTTAAATTATTTCAGTTCTTTTCAGCGCGATTGTAGCAGTTTGAATATGCATAGAATATCCAAGCCGCCAATTATTAAAGAATATTTCTAGAACGTCCTGAGGATATTATGAATATTCATGTGTTATCAGGGTTTTAATTTGAAAAAATGTAGTTTTATTTTCAATCTCAAACTTTATCGTTTATATACTATTCACTTTTTGTAGTATTAAGTCGATCTACTTGTTATTAATGGTTTTAATACTACCTTCTTCGATTTCGGCATAATTAACGCTTCCACTTCTTCTAAAGTTTTATTATTAGTTTCTGGCGTATTGAAATAAACCAATAAAGTACCAATAAAGCAACATACAGAAAAAATCCAGAAACTAACATACATTCCAAAATAATAATTTACAATTGGAAAGACAAATCCAATTCCAAAACTTAAAAACTGTTCTACAATAGACGCAATAGCAACAGCCATTCCTTTAACTTTTAATGGAAATAGTTCCCCTTGCAAGACGTACCCAACAGGACTAAGTCCCATATAATACCCAATTTCATAAGAAACTAAAGAAAGTATAGGAATCCAGGCAAGATCTAACGTACCATAATTCAGAAATAATTTTACAAAGAAAAAACTACCTAATGTGGCAAGAGCAAGAGTACATAGAATTCCGCACGTTAAGAAAATGATCTTTCTTCCAACTCTATCTATTAGTTGAGAACTCACAATGCTTGAAATTATTTTAACTAAACATATGTAAAGAACAACGCTGTTAGAATTTCCTGATTGCATTGTAATTTCATGTAAATATGTCAGAATTGCAACTGATCCTGAAAGATTTCTTGTTACTTTAGCCATCAGCAGAATAAACAATCTTTTACGATTACTTTTATTACAAATGAGTTCACGTAAAGAATTCCTTTTGCATTTTTCTCTTTCCATAACAGCTTTTTTCATTTCATTAAAATCTGTTAGAACTGATTCTGGTTGTTTAAATCCTCTTAATTTCATTAAACACATTATTGCATCTTTTTCTCGTTCTTGTATCAAATGTATGTATGGAGATTCTGGCATAAAAATGAATGTTACGAAAAATAATATCGGTATAAAAAGTGAAATTAGGTTTGAGATCCTGAATGAAAAATACGTTCCCACAGCATTAATGTAGAATACTCCGACTAACATTGACGACTTTGTTATTATTGATAGCTTACCTCGAATATCTTTTTCTGTTATTTCCCCTAGATAAATGGAAATAAATTCTAGTAAACCCCCATCACCTAGACCAACTATAAACCTTCCAGTACATAAAACATAATAATTATTTGCTGCAGTAATAACAATCCATCCGATGATTACAGGAATAGAGTACAGAAGAAAACTTTTCTTCCTTCCAAACTTTTCCATTATAATTGGATTAAAACAACAGCCGATCAAGCATCCAAGAAAATATATAGAGACTAATAAGGCTCCGGTTATTTCTGTTATGTATATGCCTGAGTCTTTCTTCTTCAAATGTAACAGCGAAGGTGACGTCCAAGCTAAGCTCACTCCACACTCCATAACTATAAGAGACGCTGGAAATAGAAGTATATTATATTGAAAAGAAAGCAGTATTAAAATTATTTTTTAATTGGATTAAATTGTCAATTTTCTTAGAATATATATTTTTTAATTGCATCTTGTGTGTAGATGATAGTATAAATATATCTTAACATTGTCTACTGTTTTTATTTACAATAATAGATGGAAGGTGAAAGAAGTTAGCAATCTCTCCGAATTAATTCTTCTTTAAAGCTTTTTATGTTTTACATTTTTAAAATATCACTATGTGTGTGGATGTTTTATATTATATTAGCCTCAATATCTCGAAGCGAAAAAGGTTACAAAGCAAAAATTGTTTACTCAGATATTTCCTAGTAGGTCATAAAATTATAGTATTTTGAGTCTGATCTTTAGTCTAAATGTACTTTTTGCATTTGTTCATATGCAAAAATCATTTTTACCACATCTTTTTAAAAATATTACCATTTATAAATATTTTTAATTGATTTTGTAAAGATTTGCTACTAAGCCTATTGATAGTACGACAGAACAAAAAAATATTTAGAATTTTCCTTTTGAGATAACTTCAGAAAGCGTTTATTTAAAGTGAGAAATTTGAGAATCACAAAGGGTAATTGATACATTATTTTCATTACGTTACTATTCATTTTCCAGTTTTGAAAGTACGTTTCAGTTTGGGATAAAAACAATTTTTGAGATTTTCGAAGTTTATAATTAGATATAGTACTTATATAATTTCTTTTACTCAAAGTTGCGATAAATTTTGAGAAAAATATATCTTTTTTAAACATATATGTACAACAATAAAATTTTTTATTAATATTTATAATTATTTTTAGGAAAGGAAATTGTTTCAAAAACTTTTTTTTAAAAATCTACACTTATAAAGCAAAATTTAATTATTTAGAAACATTTTTTGTATAAAAAATATGAACTTACCACTCAAAGCACAAGCGTATTGTAATGACCGAGAACCCTTTTCAGCAGAGTTTTCCATTTTGAGAATATCATTAGATTCTGATTTCATTTCATTAATAAGATAAAGTTATACATCAATGAGTTCATATTGATTTTATAATTATTTTGTTATAAGTTGATGAACCTCATCACTAAAATGAAGTCTGGAGAGTAGTGTAATGTTTAGAAAAATCATAGAACTGTTTTACGTCACTGATGAATGTCATGCACAAACATGCACTCAACAGGTAAGTATTTATGACCCTCTTTGAATTCCAAGGATCGTTTATTGAATCCTGCATCTAATCAGAAGATTGCGTTTTTAAGAATCAGAAGATAATAATTCTCATCAGATAACAATTTCTCTACTAGATTTTATTTCGAATTTATTGATACTGTATAAGGTTATGTGTTTTGTATGAAATGCTATAAAGGACATTTTATTTCAAACGGTTATATTATAGCAAATACTATCGCGTAGAGAATATTTTGAACCGTAGACAGTACAACATAGCTAGCTCATACGAAGAAGTACAATTGGGGTACAAAAGTACCCCAAAATTTTTTTGTTACTAGAATCTTCATATTTAAACAAAAACCAAAATAAAAAATGCAAAATTTACGAAAAATGTCGTAATTAGCATTTTCTAATAATGCAATTACTGGTTTAGAAAAAATGTTCCTGACTTTAAAATAGTACTAAAAGAGTTATTTTAAATTATTTTAAACTGCATTTTGTATTTAGATTCAAATCTACTTTTTCAATTATTTATTTTAATGATTTAGAATATTAACATAATGTTGACAAAGCCACAAATACATTTTAAGAAAATATTTTTTAATAACGCTTTTTAAAATAATTTTACTTATTAAAATCATATTAATAGCATAAATAATAAGAAAATAAATATAACTTTTCAGTCAAGCATAAATAGAAAATGTAGTAGAAAAGTTATTATTTCGTTATTAATTCTTTTTCAAGGAAATAATGTATTTATAATAATTAAAATTAATGTAATTAATTAATAACAATTTAAGTGATTAATTTTTATTTACATAATAATGCAGTTTAGTAATATACTTGAATTAATAAATATGTATAACTGGAAAATTAGTACTAATTTTTAGTATAAAATTTTAAAAAATTAAATATTTCTTTGGTTTATAAATGAACGTCATTTCTTATCTCAACTTCTAAAGTGATTTCAGATGTCATTTCTGACGTCGTTTTTGTAGTTTTTTCTGATGTCATTTCCAACATTAAAAATACGTCATTTTTGACATCACTATTTTCAACTGCAGTTTTAGTAAAAGTGATTGTGAAATTACTTAATTCAATAATTTTAGTGTAATAAAATAATTAAAATAGTTCAGTGTTTATGAAAAACAAAATTTATAAAACTATATAAACTAAAAATTTCTTAAGGTTTACAAAAAAATATCAAAAAAAAGTTTTCTAAAAAACAGTAATAATTATCTATTTATTTCAAAATTGCGAAAGGACAAATTTTATTTATCTCACGGTGATATTTACTCTTTAGATGCATCCCAACATTATCTTATCAGACAATTTATGTGCAGTTATAATTAGAATATTAAAATCGTGAAGTAGCTTCTGGTATAAAAGTATTATTATCCTAAGGCACACATATTTAATAAATATAAATAATAAAATTGTTTGTATTTACAATTTTCGTCAACCTATTTTATACTTCCTTTTCTCATTTTACCAATCCATTAAATTGCAGAAATTAAAGAACTATAATAAATAAGTTTAATGTTTTATGTATAATTTTTACTTTAAATAGATTTTAATAAGAATGAGAATCAAAATGTACAATGTATGTCGAAATTGCACAGCTAAAAAAGTATATGATAAATGTTATTAATCGTACTATTTTGTAATTTAAAATAAAGATATTTTTTATTTGATAGTTTCTTTATGATTTGTATCCATCCCCAGTGTTGTAGGTAATAAGAGGGGTGGAGATGGTGATATAGCCAAGAGTTGTAAAACGATTTGCAGTAAACCGCCGAATGAGATTATCGCGTTTATTGGCTAAAGTCATGAGCAAGAACTATCAACATTCAACGTCACAACACCGTCGTTCAGATCATTGCTTACAAAAGTTTAGGCGCCATTATAAAAAAGCTTCAACATATCTTTATAACTCAAATTCCTGTTCAGAAAGTTAACTGAATAATGTATAGTAATTCTGAAAACCACATTTTATTAATATTATTTTATTTATGATGAAAAATAAATTCCATCAATGAAAAGTAAAACAAAAAACAAATTTATGTTATTTTATTAAGTTTATTAGAAATTTATTAGAATTTTCTTTTAGCAGAATTTCATTTTTTCGAATTTTTGTTTAATCGATTTTAAATTAACCCGAATATTTACATAACAGAATTATAAATACTTGAATTTTTATTTATAAGAATTGTCATTTAACACAATTTCCATTAATGGTACTTTCTATTAAAATGAATTATTATTTAAACGAATTTTTATTTACAAGAACTCTTATTGTACATAACTTCTATTTAGTCTAATTTTGAAAAGACAGAATTTCCATTTTTGTGAATTTTCATTTGTCCAAATGTTTATTTTCATTGAGAGTTCTTAAAAATCATACGATGAAAAATTTAAGAGTGGAAAAAAATTTGATTTATGAGATTTTGTGCTAAAGAAACTACGAAGATAATATATTCTTAAATCTTTACAAAAACTTATTTTAAAGCTTAGAATGTTAGATACCTTATTTTCAGAAAAACGAAATCAATGATCGTAACAATATCTCTGGTTGGTTCATGAAGTTATTCAGATAAGAATTTTTTTAGTCCAGGACACCTTTAATTTAATAATCTTTTAAAATTTAGTTATTTCTAAAAAAATCGTACCGAAAAGGTAAAAAACCAATTAGATTTGCTTGAAATTTGACACTCAGGGGTTTTACGGTAGCTTATTACAAATCTGAAGTAAGTTTATGTATGGGGCAAAATTTCTCACCTGACCAGGTCAAAAAATTTATGTTGTTGAATTTTCTTGAAACTTTGCCAAAATGTTACTATCATTTGTAGAAGTGTAAATATAAATTATTATTGAATTTTATATAATAATTTCTGAGTTACGGAACTTCAAAATTTTGACTTTTTAGAAAATATATTTTTTTCGATTTACTATATTGATAAGTAAAATTAATTAAATTAAAAGTGTGAATAGTGATTTTAAAGGGTTTTTTCACGAGTTACAAGCTGGTGATGAAAAACATTGATTTCTTTCAATTTAACTTTGAAATTCAAGGTCAAATTCTTAATTTCAATATATCTAAAAATAGTTTTTTTATGTTTTCTAACCTACCTCAATAGAAAGCTTACCTTTTTTCCTATGCGTCAAGTGAAAACCAGGGTCTGATCTTGAAAATTTTTGAAGAAAATAATAATTTATCATTATTTTAACATTTTTCTACTCTATATGATAAAGAAGAAATACAATTTGCACAGTTTCGCGAAATTTAAATTTTTTTAATATTAATGTTTTTAATGTTAATAACATTTTTCGTATAAATTTCGAAATTTATTATTTTTTTCCGTTCTATAACAGGAATAGAGTTGATTTTTGGCATTTTTTGGCTATAGCCCTGTGTTTTTCTCATGTTTTTCTTTGCGTACGCAACTGTATTAAGACTTATCATTATTTACAAATTTTATTATTACGCTATATAACAGAAAACAAATATTAAAATAACATGATTCGATTGATCTGTTCTTCATGTAGAATATTAAAGTATCTATCAGTCATTTTTGAATAATTATAAATTAAATATATTTTCAGAAACATTAAGAGAAAAAGCATCCCTCCAAACAAAATTTGCCTATAAAGTGGATGCTTCTTCAGAAAAGGATTTCCATGACGAAACGGATGTTTCATTTGATGAAAAATGGTAATATTCAAGAGGAACAAAATGTCGATGTAAATATGAATATATCTTTAGAAGAGAATGTCGACGAAGAGGAAAGAAAAAGATGACGAGATGATGAAGACAAAGGAAATTTGTCAAATAAAGACATCTCAGAGGGATCATCAGATGATTATTTATTTATCTGATGATAATGATTCCGATAATGCGAGAGGCGTACTGTTTCAAGGTTGTGGAAACAATATGAGAATGCAAGCTGACCTTTAAAACGAACGACGTCAACTTGAAAGCTTTAGATCATTTTTTTACTGCTTTGGCGACATACCAACTACAAAAACACAATTGTGGAGAGTAATAAATCGAGACACATCAAACTTGATTTATTCCGCATATTGTACAATGTGCAAAGAAAAAGTTGGTGATGGTAAATTTGTAACAAGAAGATGCAATTGTGGCAAATGTGGACTTAATGAAGACAATTTATATTTAGGTACTTTTATACATATCCGCCTAATTCCACATTTACACGACTTCTTTCATGTGCCAAACATAGCCAAATCCTTGCGCTATAAACATGATAGAGTACAATTTGTCTTTTACACTATGGGTAGATGGAGTAGCTTTAGCTAAGTCATCAAACGCTTTTTCTTGCCCAATTCTATTGCACATTAATGAATTTCCACCCTATGCTCGAATAAAACATGCATTTTTAGTAGGGCTTTATATAGGAAACAAAAAGCCAGAGATGATGAGCCATTTGATACCAATTGTTCAAGAATTGAAAAGACTGTACAAAACTGTCATTAAATGGCGTTCAGAAGGGCCTGAAGGACTGGAAGATATCAGCAAATTTGCAACAGCCAATTCTGTTGCTGAACCTGAAGTTTTATGAACGAGTGCTCACAATTTATGGTATATTAGTATTATTTATTTATTGGTTTATACACCTGTCTTCAGCCTTACATACTTGGCTATACAAGTGTTTTTACATTTTTTGTAAACTCTTACAAATTTTTCCCTAACAAACTTAATACTAAATTTTGCGCCTACAGAGCGACTTGAAAATTAGGAGTACTCGCATTTGCCTGGACCACCCGTCTAATGGGTTTTCTCACCAGTGGAGAGGGAAACTGTAGAAAACCTCTCCAGAGTACAACCGGTTTATCGACAGTCGAGTTTTAATGGTGTGTACCGGACAATAATCGACGGTGCACATCATTATACCTCGACGTCAAACCTCCCGCTCAGATTGTCTCACGTGCCGGAAAAATACCAAGCCAAATGGGCGCGAACCAAGGGTACTTACTT